GACAAAAATAATTTGTTCCTCTTCTGATCCATTATAGCATCTAATTTTACATCAGATACTGAACTGATGATCTTCTCATACAACATTTTGCTTTGGCTTACAGAATGCTTTAATAAAATGTGAGCTAAACATTTAAAAATTGGTATTTAACAATAGTTATGATACTAAGATTTTACAAAGCAGTGCACTTAAGAAGTTTTAAAAGACAAACAATATTATAAAGCTTTTAATGAACATAATAGTTTATGACTTAACCCTCCCCGTCTTCAGTTCTCACTCCCCTATCTCAACTACTTTGAATTTTTCTAGATATTTTCTCTAGTATTAATTTTCATATTTATAAACAGCAATCTTATGCTGCTAGTTTTTTTTTTTTCTTTCCAAATTTGAGTCATCATCCATTAAATTCCTACTATGAATAAAGGTTTAACTCTCAAAGGAGCTCTGGTAGCGTAGTGCGTAAGGCACTTGATTGCTAACCAGAAGGCTGGTGGTTCAAACCTACCAGCCACACTCCTTGGAAGGAAGGTTGAGCAATCTATTTTTGTAGTGATACTGCCTCGGAAACCCAAGGAGGGGTTGCTATGAGTCAAGTCTGACTCAATGGCACATAATAACAACAACCACATATCTGCTAAACACATTCTCCTATCCTCCTAATACAGTGGTGTCACAATTGTTGGTTTACACTATTACTGTGATCAGAGTTGTGCCATATAACAATTAGCATTTCCTTTCTTGTATAACTTCTTCTGGAATAAATGATTGCTTCATTTTTCTGTGGCTTAGTTTTCTAAGTAATTTTCAAACTTCTTGCCAGATGACAAAATGATGACAATACAATATAGTCAAATACAAAGGTAATCTGGAACTCAATGTCCTTTTTTTGGTTGTTGTTCCTTAGAGCTATTTTATCTTCCTGTTCCCATTTGGGCTGGTTGTTCCCTGGGTCTCCTGTCAATCTAGCATTGGGATAACCCTTCACGGTCTTTCTGGAGGTTTCCTTCCCATCTCTTTATTACTAAATCCACTGTTCCTGGGAACCCATGTCTTCCTGTTTCTTGGTTTATTCCCTCTTTTTGGTGGAGCACATTCTCCAGTAGGTTTATAAGATGAACTTGTACACATCTTGAAAAGTCTTTACTCTATTCTCATGCTTTTCCTTGGCATAGAATTCTAAGTAGTAGATACTTTTCTCTTATAAATGTCAAATGCAATGCCATTTGGGTTCCTATGTTTTTGGTACTATTATTATCATTATCATTAAGTTCTTAAGCTGTTCTCTAATTTGGTGCTCCAGAATTTCTGGGTGATGTGTGTGGGTATGTTTGTTTTTACTATCTCAGTTCTGTGCGGTTTTCTTCAATTAGTACTTTGATAATCCCCCTTGCTTCCTCTACCCCCTCTTACTGGATCTTCTATTAGTTGGATATTGGACCTCTTGGATTCATCTTCTAATTTGCTTTTCATTTCTGTTCTATTCCTTGTCTTTGTCTCCCCGCCCCGCAAATGATTTCTTAGAAATTTTTTCAACGTTGGCCTCAGTCTTTCTATTTAACTTATTTCTGCTGTTATATTTTGAATTCCCATCAGCTTTTTCTTCTCTGAACTTTTCTTCTGTATAAAGCATGAATGCCATGCCATTTCACCTCCCTGAAGGAAGAAGGGGTTGTTAGGTGATTTGAACCAGGCTTCTAGAGTTTTGAAAACCTAGCAAGGAATGGAAAACTAGAGATCTCAATGTTCAGAATTTAAACTTGGGCTTAATTGAATTAAATTCACTGCTGTGCATGGTACCTCAAAGTTGAGAGCCTCTCTGATTTAACCTTTCCAAAGGGCAAGAATCTGCTGTTTCTTTGTCTCTTGCCCTCTTACGGGCATTAACCTCAACTTGCTCTGCTGTGCTAGTTTTTTAACACTCACTCATATATTTTCTACAAATTTTTATTGACCTATCTTTGTGCTGCCCTTGTACATTTCTTTATTGTCATCTTGTGAGCTTAAGGAAGTAGAAGAAAGGAACTCATACATTCATTCGGACACGTTGAATTGGAAGTGCCTTGCTGTCAGATTCACAGCAGAGGAAACTGTACTCTTCACCAGCCTGTTCCTCTCTCACCTATACTCTGCCTCTGGCTCTGTAGTCTGCTCTTCCTTTGAATACCAATGTACCTGTATTATAGGTATTCACATGCGTTTTTTTTTCTCATATGCGCTGTATCGCCAGAGTCCTTGAATTTATATATTTAGGTCCTCCAAAGATTTTGGCATAGTTTCTTGCCTGTGAAGTTCAATAAATGAACAAATAAAGGGAAGGCTTACTGAAAAACCATGGAAGGAACAGGATAATAAAATAAATTCTCTGTATTTGAATCAAATCTTACTGTAATATGAAGACTACTTGAAATGAACCTAGGAATTTAATATCTCTCTGCTCAGGTTTCATTATTAAAGCAGAAATTTGTCATTTTTTTATGGTGAAGAGAGTTGAATCTTCATAACACTCAACAATAAAGCTGTTGGAACATGCTGTTTTATGAGTGATGGTGTTAAGTTTATGGAGTCTCCAGGTGGGTCAAACAGTTAAGTGCTCAGCTATTAACAAAAAGTTGGAGGTTCACATTCACCAGAGGCACCTCAGAAGAAAGGCTTGGTGATCTACTTCCAAAAAAAAAAAAAAAAAAGAGCCATTGAAAACCCTGGAAATGTCTTTACTCTATTATCATGCTTTTCCTTGGCATAGAATTCTAAGTAGTAGATACTTTTCCCTCATAAATGTTAAATGCAATGCCATTTGGGTTCCTATGCTTTTGGTACTATTATTATCAATTAATTAATAATATTATTATTAAGCTTCTAAGCTGTTCTAGTCTGTGAAGTTCTACTCTGTCACACGTTTCAGAACAAACTGGAACTGACAGCAATTGGTGTGGCTTTCTTTATATATAGGGCTAACATCTGTAACCACTTAAAGGATTTTTACTAGAAAACTGGACAGACTCACTTTCCTCATCACCTTTGTTTGCTCTCCTTTGGAAAACCTAGTTGTGGCCCATCTCATCCACAGTTTCACCAGTGGTCTCTCTTATATACCAGAGTCAAAAGGTGGTCAGTTTAAGAGGTTGGCACTGTAAATAGCAGTTACTTAGGGTCTAAATACAGCTTCACTCAGGACATACTTGCTGTCCTTGTCACTCTAGCCCTAGAGGACTATTTGAAGTTTCTGGTAATTCATTTATACCTTATGACTTATTTTGAATATTAAAATTTTTTTTCTTTAAATATATAATTTAAATAATTTATGTAGTATGAGTTTATATACTCATTTACTCACTACTATGTAACTCTATTTTTATAATGAATGTTTCTTTTCTGTTTTTATTAAAAAAAAAAAAAAAACACCTTTAGAAAGTATTTTTAATCTGCAAAACTTGGCTTATAGCCAGCACATCAGAAGCATATCTGTGTTCTTAAAAGTAAAACACTCTTGTAGCCAAACAAAATATATATATGCTCCACTGATACATCCTTGACATTGCTATACAGGTCTGAATAGTATGTTATAATAACTATTATTTATGTACTTATTTTTGCCTAGGGTAATATGTTGTTCCTCCTATATTGAAACTTAAAGAAATAAGAAATTTTGGAAGTTATAAAATATAGTAGAAAAGCCCTTGGATTTGTGTAAAAAAGAAAAATACACACACACACACACACACACACACATATGTATATATATAATAAAAAATATTCTGAGTTTATATATATATATATATATACACATACACATATATATACACATACACACACACATACATATATGTGTATTCTGGGTTCAAACTTGGATTCAACACTTACTGTTTCTGTAATGTTGAGTAAGTTATTAAAGTATTTGAACCTTCTTAGTGCTTTTCATCTTTAAGATGATTAATGCAATATTTGTGTGACTTACCCTCTCTGGGTGGTTATTAGTCTAATTGTTATTGTTCTTTGTCATTGAGTTGGCTCCAACTCATAGTGACCCCATTACAGTAGAACAAAATGTTGCCCGGTCATGCACCATCTTCATGATCATTGGTTTGCTTGAGTCCATTGTTGCGGCCACTGTGTATTTTGACTTTCCACTCTCGCGGGCTCATCATCTAGTGCTATATTGGACGGTACTCTGTTGTGATCCATAAGGTTTTCACTGGCTAATTTTTAGAAGTAGATCAGAATCCTTTCTTCCTAGTCTTTCTTAGCCTGGAAGCTCTAATGAAACCTGTCCATCATGGGTGACCCTGCTGGTATTTGAAATACCGGTGGCATAGCTTCCAGCATTATAATAACATGCAAGCCACTGTAGTATGACATACTGACAGATTGGTGGCAGACAATCACATTAGAGATCTGAAAAATGCTTTAATCTGTAACATTATGCAAATTAAGTTATTAGATAATTCCATGAAGATAACCTAAGATTTTGTCACTAATCTAGATCTTCATGTCTAAAATCAACCAAATCATGTCAAATATTTTAATTTTCAAGTTATCATTTAAGTCAGATTTCATAAAAACACAAAGATACTTTCATCTAGGAGGCCTCTAAGTCTTCAAGACTTACACTAGTACATAACAGTGCCCAGTTTAACACACTGGGAGAATGCAGAGGAGCAAGAACAAAATGAATGATTCTCGTAAAATTAAAAAAATTATACAGTACACTTTTGTCTGTTCAGATACTTCCTAACACAAATATAGGTTATTTCTGCAAAACTAATTAAAATGAACCAGCAAGCTAACTATATTCTCAACAGTATTGTTGGTACAAGTTTTTTTTTTTTTCCCACAGAAAAATAATTTGCCTGATAATTATCTAATTAAAGGCTTTCTATTTGTAAAGCTTTCAAACAAATATAATCATATCAAGTTGCCTCTTTCCCTCCAAGGAATGATTTATGTGTACTTTCTTATGCATATGGGTTAGCAATCCTTCATTTTCTCTGCCTCTCTTCTAGCCTGCAGTGGTGTCTGGGACAACATTACATGCTGGCGCCCTGCTGACATAGGAGAGACCGTCACAGTACCCTGCCCAAAAGTTTTCAGCAATTTTTACAGCAAGCCAGGTACTGTCTATTTGTACTGAATTTCTGTGTTCCTCCGGAGTATTCCTTTCTGAAAGTGTCATATATTTTGCATTAAGAGAGCAAGAAGCAGGAGCATTAGTTTCCTTTGGTAAATTCTACATTTTGTTCCACTGAGTGTAACCATGGAACAACTGTAAGCATCATGTGACAAGTGTTACTTTTAGGGAGCAGGAAAATGTAAAGCTGCCTACTATAATCCATCCCAAACAGAAAAAAGATGTTCAGGGAGAGAAACTAGAATGAAGCAGTTGTGCTAGTAACCTTCCATTGACAGAAATGGCCAAATAAGCAGACAAATAAAAGCCAAAGTACCAAAAATGCGTAAGATGGTAGCCAAGACAAGGAGAAACGGTTAACTTTAGACACAATTGAGAATATAAGTAAGATTCTATTTGTTTCTTCACCATTTGGGTTCTCACACACCCTCAAAGCATTGTCCTCTGGAGGCTTTAAGAAAAAAGGAAAAAGTTGACTCCTTGGAGCCTTGACAACCTTAGTGAGTAAGAAAGTACTTTCTCATTTTCAGGAATCATCTGGTTTATTGAACTGACTCTTTCCAGTTCTAAACCCCCCACTTGCTATCCTAGCTTTGATATTGCTTGAATATCTGCAGCTTTTTTTTTTCCCCTAATTTCCACAGAAACTCAAAATGTATAGATAGGGGCTGGAGAGGTGGCCTCATCTATTTCCAGGGCTTACTCTATGCATATATGGGGTCTCTTGAGCTGGCAGACATCTCTTGTCTCCTTTCTAAGAAGGTGGCTATTTTGTTTTATAGGCAGTCCCTGGGTTACGAATGAGATCCGCTCCTAATTGTGCCTTTATGAATTTGTGGGTCAGTGTGAACAGGTACATCAGTTCTTATTTAAGTTTATATTAGTGCAAGGAAAGGCTCAAAGCCTTTTCAAAGATTTGAAAGCTGCACATGCAGGAAGTGAAGGTGATTATGATGAAGAATGTGTTATGAGTAGGGATTTGTTCAATCATTTAAAAATAAAAGCAAATTTATGTAACATTAAAGCAGGGCTTCAAAGATGGTGGCCCCCAGCTCAAAGATGGCAGCACTCCCCTTAAAGCAGGTGACTGACTCTTGAAAGTGTGTGGCTCTCCACAGCCCTGCCAATAATCCAGTCTCATGCATTAGGCTCCTGAAAAGGCTCACTGTGCCTCTTCCAAGTCTTCCATTGCAGGGTTTCAACCCCTGATTTTTCCATTTCCATTGCTGTGATGCATCACCCAAAGTGTGAAAATTCCAGTCCATTCCCATTTGCTAGGTTAGCCTTGACAGCACTGGTTTGAAGCCCTGCATTAAAGGACAAGTAGGAGATGTCCGTTAGGTTGGACGTTCATAATTCCAGAACCTCCTATATAAGTGAATAAGATTTTCACAACATGAAGAAATTGATCCAGGAAAATTGAAGATACACTTTGAAATCAGAAACATCTAATCCTTTAAATATTATAAAGAACAAAGAACTTACATTTATCTTGGGCAGATGCTAAAGGGTAACAACGTTGAGAATTGGCAATGCTGAAGGACTTTGATCAGGGAGTTTTGGAACACAGATTGGAATAGGAATAAAGGAGATTCAGAATAGAAAGATTTTATTTCATGTCTCCTCTAGCATTTACAAGATGAGATTCTTTCTTGCTTTGAGTTAATCAGCCAAGGGGCAGCCTGAAGGTTTCATTTGTGCATGTATTAGCATAATTGATCATCTCCAGTTAGGGAACCTAAATTATTGTAGAGAATCTAAGCTTTAAAAGAATCTCCATCTAATCAATAGCATTTCTACTCAATGGTCTGGGCTATAAATATTCTCTTGGACATCCTGAATGATTGACTTTTCCTGATCTGATAAAATGATTCTGAAGGCTTCCAGAGGAGCACACCAGCAGCCTGATAATTTGCACTTTGACAAACACCAGCACTTCAATTCTGGGGCCATCTGTTGTACCCAGCCCATCTCCTCCAGGCGGGAGCAAACTGGGGCACCCTCGAGCCTAGGTCAGCTGTGATCTGTCTTTGCTTTGACTCATTCTGTCATCCTCTAATTTGGAGAATGAAAACCCTCAGTCTGTTTTAGCTTAAGTGCTTTGTGTTGTTTTCTTCCAAGGCATGAAGCACAACGTTACCTTGCTATTGGGTTTTCTTTTTGGGAGTATCTCTCTACTACAAGGAAATTTGCCATTGTTTCCCGGAAGCCTGGATCATTACAGTTAGGTGATTTCTTAACAGTTACATTGATGTCCACATGGAATGAGATCTCTTTAGAACTGTTCAACAGACCATTTTTTTTTTTGCAGTGACTTAGAGGAGCGTGGCCATAATACAGAGCTGGGGGCTAAGTAGGTTTGGGTTGAGGGTAACTAGATTGTGTACCAGTGGGCTGAAGGCTCCAAGATGAAATTCAGTAGTGTTAAATGGGAAGTCTTGGTATGAAATTAAGAAGTTGTAGGGCCTTAAATCTGTGTGTTGCATTACAGTTTATAGAATACTTCTACAGATTTTGTAGCTCCTTCTTAAAATAATCTGTAAGAAGAACTGGGTCATTAGAGGGATGGTTTGAATTATGACTCCCAGAAATACAGGCTATAAATCCTGACTTCTATAACTGTGGTTAAAATGCCCTAGTGGCACAATGGTTAAGGGCTTAGCTGCTAACTAGAAGGTCAGCAGTTCAAACCACCAGCTGCTCCATGGGAGAAAGATGTGGCAGTCTGCTTCCGTAAAGATTTACAGCCTTGGAAACCCCGTGGGGGAAGTTCTACTCTGTCTACAGAGTTGCTACGAGTCAGAATCAAATCGAATCCACTCAGAAAGCAGTGGGTATACCTTTGCTTATAATCTTGTTTGGGAATAGATTTTCTTTTTTATGTTAATGAGAGAGTATTAGTGTAGGGTGTGTCTTAAATCAGTCTTTTTTGAGATATAAAAGAGATTAAGCAACCAAACAAGCAAGGAAGTACAGATGGAGGAAGAGAGATGCCAAGGCACAAGAATGTTGCCCAGGAGCAGAAGCTCAAAAAAGACAGGGACCTTCTTCCAGAACTGACAAAGACAGAAAGCCTTCCCCTAGAGCCGGCAGTCTGATTTCAGATGACTAGCAACTGGTAGCATAGTGCCTAGGGCACTTGACTGCTAACCAGAAGGCTGGCGGTTCAAACCCACCAGCCACTCCTTGGAAGGAAGATGGGGCAATCTACTTCCGTAGTGATACTGCCT